CCATTTAGGACGAAACTGCAGTAACGTTAGTTACCTACCACATAGTAACGGCTACATCCAATAATTTATGATTTATTCATGTTGTGTGTTTTGTGTTATGGAAATAAGAAATTTTCAACAGGAAAAAGTTAGAGCAACTTTTCGAAAATGCACGTTTTTTAAAAAGATGCTGTAACTCAGAAACGATGATAAATATGCGGTTTTCACCATGAGATTTGTCATAAAATTTGACCCCCAGACACAGCCATCAGTTTTCATCTATCTAGTTTGAAACCAGGAGTTTCCCTTTAATAGTGTCCATTTTGGCCTAATCTGTACATTGGTGCCTCCAGAATAGCTGCGCTGATATCTTTTTGAGTTTTTCAAACAGCTTATTCTCTTTTATATTTTGACAATTATCATTTCTACGATTTTTTTAGATTATATCAAAACATGTCCAAAGCAATAAATAAATTATTTTTGTACTTCAACAATAATCTTCAGTGGAACACCTATTTTGCCTCAGATTCCACTTTCTATTGAAAAAGTTTGAAACCTTCGTCTGTAGACAGCAATCTCCTTACAGCTATACTTTGCACATGGTATAATAAATGCCAGTTGATGGAAGACACAATCTAACCTGTAACTCAACCTAGCCAAAGTTCTACTTAACTAATTAATTTCAATAGAAGACTTGTTTTTCAAGTTCCAGTTGCGCTATATAGTTGAATCTAACTTAGGCTGTTGAGTTACATGTTAGTTTTTGTTTCACTAACAATTATTTAGATACTAAATAAATTTGCATTGAATGCAACGTTCTGATATCTATTGTACCGAAAAAAAAATGTACATGTGGGGATTTTGTTGTCTACAAACGTAATAATAATACATAATTTACACTTATAACTGAATAGTAGCAAATTCTTTGAAATTGAAAATAATACGCGATGTGAAGTTGATGAGAAAAAGAAGTAATGCTATTTCCTCATCTCTCTTCTGGTGAAGAAAACGCGCTGTCCAGCGTTGACACAAAAAAAACAATCGATACCGACAGCGATGTAGAAAAATTAATTTGGCCAGAGGTAGAAAGATGGGGTAAAAGTGAATACATACTCTTCGTCTGGGAATGGTAAAAATTGCCATAACTTTCGTCACAGTAGAAAACTAAAGGCCTTCGTCGTCAAACTCTCAAAAAGTTAAGTTTGGAAATTGGGATGGGGGTTAATTTGTACACGTCTTTACAGTAAAGACACGTCTGAACTGAAGAAGTCATTGTATGGCGAAACACATGTTGCGTTTTTGTAATACTGTTTAGTTAAAATCTCACAATAAAGTGTGTGTTAGTTATGGATTTTCATCAAGTATCAGCCAAATCCATCACATATCCTGTATATGAGTTGAATAGTATATGAGAAAAAAAAGACAAATTTTTCGTTTTGAAAAATTATGATGTTCTATAAAATTTATTTGTTTAAATATACATATCTACATAGTGATCAATAATATCACACTTTCTAATAACAAATTATTCTAATTATACTTGATAAGTACATTTTGTCAACTGTGCCGTGAAATGAATCTACTGTAAACACTTTTCGTTCACCAGAACAAAAATAATGAGATCAAAAATTTTGTCATCAGGAGACGACTTAGTGATTAAATCTGTACTAGTAGATATATTTGCAAATATCTCAATGAAAAAATTGTATAAACGGTGATAACTGTCAACTGAAACAAATGATAATTTGCCTTTTCGCAAAGAAATGTACCATCTCATCGCAATTAGAGCCAATATAGAATATAATCATGAGAGTGCTACACCCTAACAACGTTTACCTCTTTGGAATCTACTACTTGAATATAATGTAAATGATGACTTGAACTATGAGCCTACTTTTCATTTTCTTTTACATAACTAGTTTTCATTTCTAATGCACTCTTGAAGACACACAAAAAAGACTCTTCAAAGCAAATCCGTAGGAGTTTATTGTGGCTTTGTGGTTTATTGTGTTCAAACTCGACTTTATAAGTTCAGCTTCTAAATAAAGCCGATTATTTCGTTTGGTGGATGATCAGTACTGCAGCATTTTCAAATGGCTTTCAATGGAGAATCAATCATTCCTAACATAACTAAATGAAAAAATATTAAAGAGATTAAGAGACATGAGACCCCTCCAAATATACTATTTTGAAAAGGCTCTTAGTTTTTCTGTGTATATTATACTGGAATGTGTTAAATCACGTGAATATTGGTTCGAGTATGAATGGGTTTTCATTATACCATAATAAGTATTGCAAGGTTATTAGCATTTGATATATCAAAGACAAATATTTTGTCTTTTAATTGTGGCATTGGTGACAATCTCTCAACTTCGAACGTGAGTGTTACTGAGCACGTTATCCAACAGCCTTCTTGGGATTTTTACTGATAATAGGTTGAAATTTGATGATTAAATATTGTAGCTCAACAGAAAACTCTCGTTTTATGTTATGCAGTGAGGATAACATCTAACGAACTAGGAATGAGTGCTGCTACAACTATTGTTGTAAATCATGCCCTAAAGAAAATAACGCCGGCCACCGCTGGTAGCCATAAATCAATTGTGACGTGACTGAGACCACATCTAACTAGACGTGTGCTAGCGACCATTTTAGACGTGGCGTTGCTTCGAGAATAATGACACCGGCTTCGTTGGAATTCCGGCGAATTTTCCACCGCCTTCGATTACCATATATAAACGCTTCCCACTCGCCTATCGATAGAATCAAGTCAGATATAGCAAGCGCCAATAGTGATGACGAGCGATCGCGCAGGTATAAACTCTCCTAACTAAATTGAATTAAAATAAGCCCCTTGCCGGCCAGTGTCGTNACTATCAATGGAATTGTTCACTGTCCCTCATTGCTATCTAGGATCGGACTTTCAGCCTCTCCTAACCTCACTAGAAATACAGTTACCACACTGCAGAACTAATCAGTTCCTTCATTCCTTTGTACCACGGACTACAAGAGCGGCAAAAAACGGACTTTGTTTCCTTCACTTCTGCATCTGAGTTTTAAAGGCAGCTGAATTCGGAGTGGAATATGTAGTTTTTGAGAACGTTTTTTTGTGATGTTTTCGATTATTGAATTGTATTTTCAAACTTTGACTTGTTTTATATTGTTTTCTAGGCTTTTTTATTCGTATTTTTGTATTGTTGCAAAATGCCTTTCATTTATTCTGTATTTTTTTTATTGTACTGAGTAAAATGGGTTTTGAACCCATGCATAAATAAATAAAATAACTCTTAATTTTGTCACTCAACATTATCATTGTTCTCAGTTTTGTCAAGAAAATTGCTCTTCAGTCAATGAAGCAAATTTATTATTATTGTTACGTTTTCCCCCCGTGGGTTCACGAATAATTGACTACACTGAATAATCAGACTCAACTTTATTTCACTTTAAATACAACAAACACTTCAACTAAATATTTTACTATTATTTGAACACTGCCCACGTCCCTGAGGTTGTTCACAACGAACAACATTCCAAGAGGGGACATCACGATCCATGTAAGGACTCAGCCTCCCTATGTGGACATCTTTAGGCTTGCTTCTGGGTGACAATTGGATTCTGTACACCAGATCGTTTATCTTTTTGGTTACCAAGTAAGGTCCTTGCCATGGTCTCTGCAACTTGGGACACAAACCTTTTCGACGTTGGGGTTGGTAGAGCCACACTTCATCGCCCTCCTTGAAGCTCATTGGCAGTGACTTTTTGTCAAATCTTACCTTTATTCTGTCGCTGGAACGCTGTAATTTGGTGCTGGCAAATTCGTGTACAATTTCCAGTCTCTCTTTCAGGTCATTTACATACTCTGAAAGAGGTACCTCTTGGGATTCATCGAAAGGACTGCCACACAATACATCTATCGGAAGCTTCAGTTCCCTACCAGTTAACAACATAGATGGTGTATAACTTGTCTCGTCATGTTGGGATCTCCTGTATGCCAACAGAAAAGGTACTAATTTATCGCACTTCTCACACCAAATGTTACGTGTTCCCCCCATAGGTTCACCAATAATTGACTGCACTGAATAATCAAACTTAACTTTATTTCACTTTAAATACAACTACAAGACGAGGCATTGTTGTGGTTTAGTAACAAAGAAAAAGAATTGACAAACTTTGAAGAATTTTCAAATAAATTTGTTACATATTTCTGAGGACCATCACAACAGAAATTGATCAAAGATGAATTATTAGGGGGGGAAATATAATCCAAATAGAAGAACATCATATCATAAATATGCAATTCAAATTTATATTTAAATTGATGGATGTAGCCACTTGAAACGTTTTTTATTGTGGTGCAAAATGTATATGCGCTACACTGTAATGAGCAATGGCTATATACAACTCTATGTTTTTCAAGTTACAGTAAGAGAATTGAAATGGGGTGTTTTCATCTAAAATCCTAGGCTAGGCGAATCTCGAGAGTAAAAGTTATTTTTGTAAGTGGCATTCTATATCAGAAAATTCTTTCATTTATTAGGAGGCTCCGAAGAATGCTATCTGTTTCAGCTTCTATCACGAATTTTTGATGAACAAGTAAATTTTGTATAAATCAATAACCGCATGGTGAAGTAGTTGTTTCATATATTTTTATGCTCCCCAAGGCGTTTATTCACCCTTTGAAGCTAGATACCAAACAGTTGTTGGACTAAGGGATGAACTAGGATATCTAACAGACCTTCTCACTGCATCTGTCATCTGAATCATCATATGCAGAGACTCGGACTGTAGGAAGACAGTGTGTGTCGCCTCTGTTTGGAAAATGATGAAACAGCAGAGCACATACTTTGTGCCTGCCCCACTGGGGACCGAATCGGATTTTTAGAGTTTGGCAGAGCCATACTCTTACCATCTGACCTGAAAGACCATTCACCGTACAAACTAATCGGCTTCGTTAAGAAGCTGGATTTATTTGGTTGAGTGTGAAGAGGTGTGAGCCATAATAAACCCTTGCGGGTTGCGGTGGGGGTTGAATAGACTCACTCACTTTGGACCTAACCTATCCTACTTTAATATTCTTTCTTCTAGTTTGTATCCCAAGGAAATATCTGGACAATCTACACTTCTTTTATTTTGAATATAAACAATAATTATTCTGAGGTCAAATTACAAATATACTCAATAGACTCTTGATAAGATATGTTGAATGGAATTAGGAGAATTTCTAGTAATAAGCTGTCCAGGTGATTTTTTGGAATATAAAATATTGAAACACCCTGCGAAACTACAGAAAAAATTTTGAATACTTAATCGTTTCAACACCATCTATAATATCTAATATTCATATACCAATTTTGGAAACATTTTCACTAATAAATATCAATTTAGGACTAGACAAAAAAGGAATGTGAGTTTCTTGTGATGATAATAAAATAATAATAATAATTTTACATCATTTGTTCAACTGATTTAACTCGATAAGTGAGTTAACACTTGTTTCGAGATGGGTATAACACGCAACAATTAAATGAAAATGAAATACAATGTACCATATAAATAAATGTCCAATAGAAGTTTTTCGTTTGTTTGAAGGTGATAATGAAATTCATAGCAGTTTTTGAATGAATAATCAGTATAGACTTATTCGAAAATATAAACTTCATTACAAGTGAGTCATGAGGGGCTGCACAAAAGTAACTAAATTGAAATGAGATATTTTTAAAAATATAATCGCTACTGCTAACTTCAAGCTTATATAAGATCATTACAATTATGATATTGTTACTTTCATATTTTCTCTCAATAACAAATGATCTCGAAGAATCACAAATTAATTTTTTGAATGCTTTTCTGAAAAATGTATAGGAATTGACTTTTTTCATATCTTCAGGTAGGCAACTGTGAGCTTTTGGTGCTGAAAAGGTAAACGATTGCTGGCAAAGTGATTTCGTCATACTGGAAATGACATGGTAATTCCTTCAATGAGTTAGATAATCATGAGATGGGAGACACCAAGTGGTATCAAAATGAAATTTTGAGTTGATATTCAGGTACTCAATAACCTACAGTAACATCTCACATCTCATACATTCAGACATCACTTCTATAACACAACACAACACACAATCATCACACAAGTTATTGACTGTTGGTGGAGATGAAATTGATATTTTCCAATATTTCATGACTTGCCGGCACCAGACTTTTTCTTGGTACCAGAATTGTCTTTCTTCCCCAATATTGGGCTTGCACTCATGTTACGAATTAAATTCCTGAAACCTCTCGCCTGAGTTTCGCCTACAGTTTCCGGAGCAATACAAAAGAAATCATCCATCAGTTGTCTGGGAGGATCTACTTCACAAGGCTTCAAGTCATCTTTAGGATCTCTATCAAGTAACAGGACTAAACGTTTCTTCAACGATTCATTACGCTCCTGAAGCTTAGTTATTTTTTGAGCATCTTCTGTGTAATTCATCAGAGTTGGCATCGGCATGTGCTGAAATAAGAAGAATAATAAATAATAACTTTTGAAGCAATATTATGTCTTTACCTGGATAACGGTTGCAAAGAAATTGGTTAATGATAGCAGGAGAGTATCTTGCCACTGTTTAGTAAAGTACAGAGCAAATGTTTTGCTTTCATCTGGATTTTTCGTATAGGGTAGAGCTAAAAAAAATAATTACTCAATATCTGTTGTAAGATTTGACGACAAAATAAATATTATCATTATTAATATTAATTATCAATATTGAAATCGATTAACTGAAACCAAGTATTGACAGTGTTAGTATTTTGATTACGCAATACTTGAATAGAGAATTTCTAATAACCGACGTTACTATCAGGTTGTTTCAAAAGTTAAGCCCGTTTCAATATCATTTGTATTTGTATCCCTATATCTTAGAAACTGCTGTTATCCTAGTTGAAGCTCCTGACGAATACTTCACTTCCCTAGAATATGAAGACAATATCTTCACCTACTACAAAATGGCAAAACATTTAATAATTTCCTGAAGATGAACACATTAATATCGATATTTCCAGAAATATTCCTTTTTATCTGTCATATGGCAATTCCAACAACCCGATAAGGTGTGTTAAGTTATTTTTTGTTTATAAAAACGACAAAAAATGTCAGTACGACAATGAACATCATTGTTCAGTTGGAATATTCTTATTTAGTTTTCGGTTTTACTAGTAGAAAGGTACCACGTCAACAATCTCTAAAATGGTCAATTCTCATCCATTGGAAGAAATAATTGAAGCTATTTTCATTTACGGTGCGACGCGTAACTATCACGAGACCGAAAGGATGTTCAATTAACGTTTTCCGAATCGTCCTATCTGTAGAAAATATTTGAGGGAACTTGTATCCAAATTCACAACTACCGGTAGTGTACATAACAAAAAGCCCCCAGGTCATCCGTCCATTCCGGAAGAACAGCAAGTGCAAATAATTGGTGAGATGGTAGTAAATCCTGAACAGTCTACTTATTCCGTCGCGAATGTTTGTGGGGTGTCTCCTTCTACTGTGTGGAGACTTTTGAAGAGGAATAGGTATCATCCATACAAAATTTAAATGGTACACCAATTAACTGAAGATGACCCCGATCGAAGAACAGAATTTTGTGAAATCATGTCGGAAACCATTGCAAGGCATTCTACCTATCTCCACAATATTTTTTTTAGTGACGAATGTACATTTTTTTTAAACGGCAATGTTCACAGACAAAATTGCCGTTATCGGAGTGACACCAACCCTCACGTTTTCCGGAAAACACATACCCAATATCCAGAAAAATTAACGTTTGGACAGGAATATTGGGAAACCATATTGTAGGACCTCTATTTATTGATCAAAATTTAACAGGGGAACTGTATTTGAATATGCTAGAAACAACTGTTGACCCTCTCATCACTGAAATCGTCGAAGCGAATCCTAATGAATTCGATATGGATATTGTATTCCAACAAAATGGAGCACCACCACATTATTTCAAACAAGTAAGTAACTATTTGGGTACTACTTTTCCCGGTCGTTGGATTGGCCGTCGAGGTCCTACAGAATGGCCAGCCCGCTCGACAGATTTAACACCTTTGGACTTTTTTTATGTGGCTATTTGAAGCAAAAGGTGTACGAAACTGAACCTGCTTCAATATTGGATATACGGCAGAGAATTATAAATATTTGTAGATATTGACGTTACTGTGTTCTAAAATGTTCGGCGTGAAATATCGGATAAGCTGTTCATATGTTAAGAAGTTCAAGGCAACCATTTAGAGCAACTTCTGAACTAACCTCAAGCTTATTACCTCATATCATGTAGTTAAATGTCAATGTATTCAGGCAATTATTACAAGTTCCGCCATTTTGTAGTAGTTGAAGATATTGACATTATATTCTAGGGTTGTGAAGCATTTGTCAGGAGCTTCAAAAATATGTGTCACAAGACCCCCCTTTCCATTAAATTTTTTCCCCAGATGGCGTCCAGTCGCCATCTTGAAAGTTTCATCTGTCAATTTCACATCAAAATAAAATATTTATGCATTAATTTCATTATCCTGAATTAGGTCTGGGGTGTATAATGGGTGATGCAGAACTTAGACGCTAAATTCGTTCAATTTTAGAATGGTGAGTTGGGAAACGTGCGGACGGGCGTTATTGTGGAGCGGGATCGGACCTATTCTGTTAACCAGCGCCGGCTGCTGCTGCTGAAACAATTTTTTCATTACATTTTGTTGATTCCCTCATAATAAGACTCTGCTATGATGGTTTAGTCCGGTTGCCGAAAGTTATAGCGAGTCTCACCAGCCGCTGACCACCATACAGTAACCACGGTCTTTTTTTTTATGGGTTTTTGCCTTTGGGAGGTGCCTGGGTGGATCATCGGTGTCCAATTACGATCCTGAAGGTCTCCTGTTGTCGTAGATGATTCACTTTTCATCGCACAAAAGCAAAGAATCGTGGGGAACCCACTTTTCGAGCTTCGTAACCTCTCCAATATGCTTAAAACCATCAAAAACCGCATGGAAGATGACGCCCAGTTTTTCCTTCATCCCACGCTCCATTTGTGATGGGTCAGTCAACACCAGGGTTCTCAAATTATCATCCTCGTCAATTCCTCACTAAATTCCGTAGATCCTTTTTTATTACACTTCTCGATGAGATGATGTGTCAGTATAAAATTCTTATCATCTGCATATTTTATGATTAGATCGAGTGTGCGATAAGTTCTGTTGATTAAACTGATAAAAATGATGAAGAACAGGAGCCGAAGTTCCAAACTTTGATGTACACCTGAAGTGGTCCATACACCTAAAGTGGTCCATAGATTCGACCGTTCATTATTTAGGACAATACTTTGAGATCGATTCAACAAATATGATTCTTTGAAAACTAGAGCCCAAACATAACGCATTTATGTTGCTGCTGTTGCTGGACTCAACCGTCCTTAAAGGACGAGTCTGAGTAATTAACACCGACGAAATCTTCCCTTACAAAAACGCCACCCATGGGATCGACAGAGAACTCAATTTTTGGATATTGAAGATAAACGAGGCACCTCAAGGTGATTAGTTGAAAATCCAAGCTTCGACATCGACCGCCGACGAGATTTATCCTCTGTCTTTCATTGGAAAGCAACTAGTTGAAAACTAGAGCCCAAATACAATGCATTTATTATTGCAAACCAGACATCGCTGTTTTGAACCCGATCATCAGTGGTGCTAGGCTGAACCACAAATGCGTTGCTGTCCTCAAAGGACAAGCCTGAGTGAGTAAGATCGATTGCTTTTTGCCTATACATATTGAATGAGTTTGATTCGTCGTTCAATGTTATCTCTCCATACAGTATATTTAAGCGCACTCCAGAGTATGCGGACCGTCTTTACACCACCGCTTTTATAGTGACAATTTTTTTAATGAATTTCAACTACCGCTGTAAATTGGTAAGTGCGGCCCTGACAATTAAGGAGGATATGCTTGTCTATCATGTTTCGAGAATGTACTGAAAGCAAAGAAGAATGATATTGAAGAAGAGAGTAAAATCAAGGTTGTTCGCGGAAAGGTAGGTTGGACTGGAAGAATTAGGAGGGTGGGAGATAATACACGTTTAAATTTCTCCTTTTTTGTATGAATTACTGCTGAGTTGCGGAGAGAACACAGTCTTAGTCCTGACGAGGAAGTGATAGTGATATTATTTATAGGAGCGATAGCATAGGGGCCCAATAACCACACCCCGAGATACACCTAAAGTGGTGGATTTAAACATTCATCATTTAGGAAATGATTCAACAGATATGATTCTGCCCACTCATGGTTTACCTTGTATTCCCATTTCTTTCATTTTCATCAGTACTTAATAGTTTGTGACCTACTCAGTCGAATGCACAACTGAGGTCAAAAACATGCCTGAAAGTATTTTGTTTATTATTTTTTACCTAATAAGTCCAATAAGTCCTAATAAGTCAGATCCATCTCCTATGGCGCAGAAGGTGGATTTAGTTTCATTTGAGAAATGTTGTATGTTTCTTATATGTTAGATGTTTGTGTAAACATGGTCATAAGTTACATTGATGAGATTTTAATGATTACTGTACCTATAATAGCAAGCGCCAATAGTGATGACGAGCGATCGCGCAGGTATAAACTCTCCTAACTAAATTGAATTAAAATAAGCCCCTTGCCGGCCAGTGTCGTCGCTATAATTAGTTTTGATCAGGGTAGCGAATGTAACATGACATAGGTAATAGTACAATTCATTGAAATGTTATATAATGATACTCTATACATGAATGTGTAGATCATGCAAAGAAGTAACTTTCAGATAATTCAATGTTTATATGAAAGTAGCTGTTTCAGGAGGCCTTTCTTTCAGTTTGTATCTGAAAGTTACTTCTTTGCATGATCTACACATTCATGTATAGAGTTTCAAATTGATTACTTCCTTCCTTTCTTTGGAAGATTCTCTCATCCCTTTTTTTGTATCAGATGGACTTTCTTTCCCAAAAAATTAATCACTCCTAAAAATATAACCCCTTCAATTCAAATAATGATACACTCTTGGTGACTGTTTTTTTTGTCAGGCGATTAAATGTTTTTAGCAACACAAATTATTCAGACAATGGCAAACGCCAACAGCATTGGAGGACAAGTAATGATACGCCTCTGTACAGAGCATTTGTATGTCTTGCAAGAGCTGTAGTGGAGGTTTTACACTGAAAATGAGTTTGTGCGCATGGGGGCGGGCTCGCCACCACATTTGGTGCATGCTGTAGTCAAGTTTAAGTGATAGTGCGGTACAGATCGATTTGATAAGACGATAGACATTTGAATACTAATTGAAGTTTTAGTTGAAGTGTTTGGTTGAATCAACAGTGTCTATTCTTCAGAATAGGGCATTAAGATTTCTCTGTGAAGTCATGCCAAGCGATTCTTGCCGGCCTTTGTTTATTGCTCACAAATCTTTACACTGTGTGCTATTTTAATTTTGGTGTGTTTGTCTATCAAATGAACAAAGACCAGAACTTTCCTCTTTTTTTTTTTAATCATACAATGTATATGCATGTCTATTTGAATTTTGTTGGCAAACAGATTATGTTATTCCCAGCAAAAGTTATTCGCTGTCTCGTCTCGATGTATTTTGATCGAGCAGAAAGAGCGAATAACTTACCGTAGAAACAACAGATCTGCATTAAAAATAGAGTGAACAAAACAAACCTTATTTATGTTTAACCAAGTGTGAGGCTTAGTTATTGTTATTATTTCTATAAGATACGAATTTTTGAACAATTTTTGGAAACAGTGCTACAGCTCAACAAATATTCATATATAACCATGAGCTAGCTACAGATAATAGTTGGGCTTTAGCATTAACGATTTTATTGGGCAATGAGCACTTGTCAAAAACGTTCTCTTGAAAGAAACAAAAATACTTATAATACAAGTATCTACTTAATTTTACCCTGATGTATGTATAGAGTTCCTTGAACAGAAAAGCTTATACATTGTTTAAAATTGTTCAGTGATTTGTCATTTGTGGCAATATTCATAAAAATTAATTGATAACATTCCTACAGTAAGATATTTTAAATATTTAAAAGATGGGAATAAAACTAGTTGTATCAATCATATGAACAAACAGTTTCTATTAAATGTTTTGTTCACATGTAAATAACTTTGATTCAGAAGTGTTCACATTGTAATTTCCTTTGCCTTTTTTCTTGAAAATGGGTATCTATACCATATTTCCTTGCAGTTCACAAGCTTTGCACTTGAATGATTCGAAATCATTTCTATAAACTTGCAACTTTGCTTTGATCTCTGCTAAAGCTCTAAAGCTTTACTTGCCTCGCTCAAATTGATGTCGCATTTTTGTAAAATTTTGGATGCATAATTGATGTCATTCAGTATACTGTGCATAAATTCACAAAGCAACATCCAGCATTTTTGTTTTAATACTCTCTGCTTTATTACGCTCATCTTTATTAGGACTCTTTAGAACTATTTCTGATAATGCTTTGATAATATCAAAAAAAACGAAGTTTCATTGCAAATATTGTATTGACTCCACTGGACCATCTAGTGGGATTTCATTTTTTTATAGTGGTGTCCGATTCGCCTGTGAATTTTGACAGTAGATCCCAACGCTTGATGCTGTTTCCGGAAAAGTTAAACAAATCTGGCAACGTTGCGAAAAAAATTTGTATATCATTTATCACCAAATTTAAATAATGAGTGGCACAATGCACGTACTCCACGTTAGGCTGGATATCCTTAATATGTTTTTGTACACCATTATACACACCACTCATCACATTGGCTCCATCATAACCTTGCCACACACATTTTTTTAAATCAATATTTTTCTCTTTGAATAATGTAGTTACTTGATTAACTAAATCTTCCCCGCCATGTTTGATGGGTACATAAAAGCCCAGAAACACTTCTTTTACTTCCGATCTGATCATTATTGCATACCTCACAAAAATGCTTAGCTAATCTACCTTCAATATGTCCTCAGTCGTATCCATTATGATGGCGAAAAACGGTGACACCTTAATGTCTTCTAGTTGACGGGTTTCGAGATTGGTGCCCAAGTTCTCAATCATTTCATTCTGAATTGTTTTACTCAGATATCTTGTATAGGCTGTACATTAATACAAGAGCGGGTAACAGCAAGTAATTTATATTTTTACTTTAAAAATACAGTAACTGACGAAATATGCCAACTGCTCTAAGTAGTAAATAGTTTATTCGAGAATCGCAAAACTAACACAACCGTCAACGATATCTTCCCTCACGCGTCTGCCCGTGTTCGGGTCGTGTTCCCGTCGATGGCGCTTCATTGCTTAGACCGTCCCTCTACCCCCGTCGTCTTACAGTATATGCGACGCGTAATGGCTTACTGCGTTACGTCAAGTTAATCGTGATAACTTTTGAACGATTCGCCAAAATTACTTAATGTAAAAGACAAAGTTTATCTATATTAAATACTCATAAACGACAATTGTATCTATTTTTATAAGAATTTGACAGATATTCTAAATTGTGCATTATAAATAAAGTATCCCATTTAATTGTATTCATGGCTCAGTATTTTCATATAGTGGCTACCGCATAAGAGGTAGATATTATATGCTATCGCGGACTTTTATTAAGAACTATTACGGTACATTATCTGCATGTAGGTAACTTCTACGGTATAGGCTGTGCACGCCAAAGATAGCTCTCAGGGAGCAAGAATTTTTCCGACATACCAATGCTTATCGTTATATTATGACCAAAATTACACAAAACCTTTGTAAATTGCAGCCGATATGTTATTCTGATGTTTAAGCTATATTTATGTAAAGTTTCATCTAAATCCATTCAGTCGTTTAGGCGTGAAAGAGCCAGAAACATACATACATACATCCATCCTCACAAACTTTCACATTTATATTAGTATAGACTCACAATAATTTCATTCCAGCTTAACTGATGAAGCCAACTCGAACTCAAATAAAATTTATTGTAAACATTGTATACCTACCTATTATTATCATGGTTAGTTATATGGTTCAGTTTGAGTTTGTAGAAATTATAGATTTACATATTTCGATGGTAAAACAAAAAGAAATTTTCACCCTATATATCAAGTGAAATATTGAATAAATATTTTCATTTGTTTTCCTTACCTTCGATGAAGAAGTGAACTAGGTCATGAATATCCAAACAAATTATTTTTTGCTGATTGTTATGATTTGGCAAATGACTATCGCAATTTTGCAGTTTTATCGATATTACGCTGAGTTATAATTTTCAGTTGTCGCGGTGCAGTTGAAATATAATGAAATTTTGATGATTGAAATAATAATTTTGGAAAGATGTTGATGAAATTCGTTGGGATATACGTTACTTGTATTATTTTTCAAAATGTACGAGGAGCCGAAGAAAAGATTGAAACATCTTGTAATATCAACTTGAAAAAATCTATTCAATGTGTTAGTGAGAAATTCTTGAGTTTTTCCATTGATCCTGCTGTCTTGTTAGCTGGGGTGAATTTGAGGTGAGTTCTTCATGAAATTTTAGGAAAAATCATCTATGTAACAGGCAAAGTTTTTCCTAAAACGACCGATGCATTAATACAACTTTACAAATAATTCTATATCTGAAGAAAAATTATTTATAGGAAGGGTTAGCTTGGTTAGTAACTCTAGTTGAACTTGGTTATATTCTTCAGGAATTGACAGATTTTTTTGAAAAACTCTGGAATATGAAGGTATGTTAGCTTTCGAACTTGACATTTTATTGCATTTTCTTTCCAAATCCAGTATTTTTGTGTTGAATAGTTTTGCTCTTTCAGTTTTATTTTATTGAGGTGAATGAATTTCAACAACTGGAATTGATTTTAGTTGATTGGGTTTCCATAATCTGGAAAATAGTTGATATTCTCAGTTTTTCTTCAAAATTTGATAAATTGAAACAATTTTCTCATAAGAAATGATGACTTCTTTCATGAAGACACCATCTATGGGATCGGCAGAAAACCAAAACCACGAATTTTCTGACTGATTCGGCCGTTACTTGATGAAGATCCATAGCAATTTCATAAACTATACCTTACGATTGTGAAGATCAAATCTTAAGGTGTAGTTCATGATAAAATAATGATTTCTCTACAAGTAGTGAAATCACTCCATGGTGAGGTCAGTAGCACTGACCATCTACCAAATACAAAACTTTATCTGAAATTCATAATAATTCAAAAAAAATCATGGACTTCAAAGTTATCAATGATTGTAAGATAATATTGCTAATTCATCTGGCATGGTTGTCAGTTTTTGTTCATCGTCTCAGTACTTGAAGCAATGCTTGTTGCTTTTTGTGAATGCTTCCGTCATGAAATATTGTTTTCACGATAGCACCTCTAGATATGGAAATAACAGGATCACTCGCTCTGCTGTTATTCCCTGACCATGATAATATCCTAAGGATTGCTTTATTCCAAGATGTATGTATCTGTATGATTCTGAGCCCATCAGTTATCTCTTATAGAATCTTCAAGATACCGGGTGCCTTATCGTGCACTTCATTTCTAAGGTAATGTGGGGCTCTGCCGTGATGGAACTCCCTTCTCCAGCTACTCGTGGAACCCTTGATGGACTTAAGTAACCAAAAATTAGACCTTGAATCTACAAGAGAGAGTAACATCGACTAAACGACTGCACCCTGACCACACCTCCCTGTAACATCGGATCGAGAGGCTTCTTAGCCTCTCAAGATGCTAAATGAGCCAGAAAGTGACTCTGTTAATTCCTCACGGGTTAGGATACTGTATGAATATGCTTTGCACTAAACTCTTGAGCAGCAGAAGCAGAATCTGTATCAAATTTAAGCATTCATAGGGATAGACAGCGGAAAGCAACTTTGTTCCTATAGATGCAAATTGAACTTTTTCAGTATTTGACGGATACTTGTACAACTCACGCCCGTCGCTGGGACTGATTTTGTATACCAATCATACTATCCATTGCAATTTTCATCAATATTTTTCTATAATTCGCACCCTTTTGACAGTTGAACATAACTAATAAACTTGAAAGCTTTGATGATTGTCAAATACTTCACAAACATTCATTGAAATACCATGCATATGTGGAATAATTGAAACTTCATCTTTCCAGCGAGACCTCTCTGCGCCTGGCTCAGCACCTGAGTCCAGCCTACATCAGGATCGCTGGCCCCTCCACCTCCTTCGTGAACTACGTTGACAAGGACGACAGATTCGCGAATTATTTATCTGAAGATGGAAACAGTGTTATCGTAACGCCCTCGATGTGGTTTGGGATTAATGAGTGGTTCAAACTGGCTAATTTGATGCCGGTTTATGGAATAAATGATATCGATACCGAGGCAGGGAACTGGAACCCTAAAAGCGTGCTGCCCCTTTTGGAGATATCTGACAAACTCAACGTTTCCTGCTACTGGCAGCTAGGATTTGGTAAGCATGATAATAATAAAAATTAGCGGTTAATTGACGCAGTGATAGCGCGCCCGACTCACGATCGAAAGGTCGTAAGTCGAGCCCAATCTCGACCAGATATTTCTCTTGAGAAAGTTTATCTAGTTGAAGCTGAAATGATTCTGCAACATTACATAGCTGACGGAATGCCTTATGTGGCTCGGTGAGTTATTAGCATTGTTTACTCAGGACGAGGCAAATGACGAGGCTCAGGACGAGGCTAATGACAAATACAGTCGATGCCGATGACACAAATAATAATAATAATATGTCCCGAATGTATCGGGTCTTCAGAGGATAGGACCTGATCGGCGCATTCTACGGTAGAAAAATAATAATACTAATAGATAGATAGATAGCACTTCATTTCCAACAGGTGTACTCCCAATTACAGAAAATGTTGAAGAAAATATACTGAAGAAAATAACATTCAATTCAATTGAATTCACATATTACATATTCAATCGACAAATTACAAATTATATTAATAATATAAATGAAATGCCTGTATTCAATGATATAATATTAGATTGTTTCAAAAGGATGGAATAGTCAATTGCCTTTTGGGGGTTTAAATGAAAGCTTCTATGTAAGATACAATCCTTGATAAAGTTCAAAGAGTTTCCATCAATGTCACACATGTTACATACTAAATTAAAATTATAACACATTACATATACTGGTGCTTTGAGATTAATATTTGTTCTACTACTCTGACAATGAAATGTTTTCTCGTATCTTTATTTGAGTTGAGCAGATGAAAAAGACCTTGGCTTATCAAAGCGCGTGACTTTCACCTTGCTCAGTCAGAAACTGAGTGTTCATCATGGCATGCCAGGATGGTGTCTTCAACACCTTAGTCTACCGCAGTCGCATGATGGGTATAGAGGTTCGCGACAGAAGGTGCAGGGCCTGCAGCGAGACGTCTCTGACCCTAATGAACTTGCTGTCAGCATGTTCAGCATATGCTGAACATGAACATCCATTGACATAACGTGGCCCTAAGAGTGCTTTATTACCATTTTCGGCACTTTTACGGTATTGACGAGACACCGGTGTTGCCCTACGCTCCGAGGGATATTGAATCCAAGGATATTGAAACCTGATGTAGTCCTTCTCGACCACCAGAGCAAGACGATATTGAAACGGATAAAATATTTTCTCCTCGAACTCCGCAGACTACCCATACCACTCTGTCAAGATGGTGGCACTGATTATAGGAGTCCTTGGTGGAATGATGCTCTCTCTATTCTCAAATCTTAAAATCATACCGGCTTGCCGCACTAAGGCAGATGTCTAAGCCGGACAGATGCAGAAGCCTGTGATTCTTGGCTCACTGGGCTTGCTCGGACCCAATGATCACTTACCCCCTGGTGTGGGAAGTGATCGTTGGTTGACAATGCTGACGAGCCCTCCCAAATGTATTGGGGCTTCGGTGGATAGGGCCTGACCAGCGCACACTACGGTAAACACTATAATAATAATAATCGTTCATTCAGTCCATTCAATAGTTTTCTGATATTTCTCAAATTCAAGTAACACTTAACTGTCACTGATAGTTCACAAAACCGAAACACGTGTTTCACGGAGGTAGTTAGATTGCGTTTAGCTGATGTTGTGTATTCGAGTTGTATGTAAGGTAATGCCAGATACAGAAGGCATGATTGACAGCAATATTGAAAAATTTTTTTATGGGGTTTACTGTTCCCTAACCAGGCAAATCAGGAATTTCAGTAATATTCATTCGCTTAAATTACTGTACTACACATTGGTGAAAAGTTTATTGGACTTTGGGCCGAATATATCTATGTATAGTATAGCGAATATCAAAAACTCCAAAACAACTTTTGAGGATGTCTGAATTTTCAAAAATATCATGCATAACTTAGAGGAACTGCAGCAAATTTGGAATACCTACTGGTTTGTTTTTTGGGAATAAGTAGAGAAGAAAATGGCTTAGCCCAATAAAAAATACAACGCATGGTTAGAAAATTATTAAACTTCAATAATAGAAAGAATAAAACAAAACGAAAATTAAGAACATCATCAAAATTTTAATCAACCTAAAAAACTCCAAAAGCTTCATTTGACTTATGGTGCAGATAATTTGGAATATATTATTCCAANGTTTTTGTACACCATTATACACACCACTCATCACATTGGCTCCATCATAACCTTGCCACACACATTTTTTTAAATCAATATTTTTCCTTTTGAATAATGTAGTTACTTGATTAACTAAATCTGCCCCGCCATGTTTGATGGGTACATAAAAGCCTAGAAACACTTTTACTTCCGATCTGGTTATTACTGCATACTTCACAACAATGCTTAGCTAATCTACCTTCAATATGTCCTGTGTCGTATCCATTATGATGGCGAAAAACGGTGACACCTTAATGTCTTCTAGTAGACGGGTTTCGAGATTGGTCCCCAAGTTCTCAATCATTTCATTCTGAAATGTTTCACTTAGATATCTTGTAGTTTCTAAAAACTAAAAACATAAAAAAAAACACAATTTTAAAAAGCCCTTACATTAAACAGTCAATGATTATGAATAATATTAGAACAAAATAAAATAATTATTATTACCTTTGGGCATATCCAAAACTGCCGCAAAATGTGATCATATCGGGCAAAAAATTTCCATTTATAATAATTAGGTATCCAAGGTGTTCCAACTTACCTGCAGTATTCAAAATTTGCTGCAATTTGCAGTATTGTGAGATTTTCACTAAACAAAAAAGTGTTTTTTGAATACGTTGATTATGAATTTTCATCAAGTGTCTGCCAACTTAATCATAGGTATATAATATCATGTATGGCCAGACTATCGTTCAGCCGAAAAATTCGTTTGATATTCATTGAAAGATTTTTTCTGTGGAAGACTCAATTGTTACTACTGTCTTTTTGGGTATATAACCTTCCATAATCTGAAAAATAAACAAAGTTGAATCAATACAGAATCTGCTGAAGTGCAATAATGGGCAAACTGAATAGGTCACTTCAAAAAGTAATTGTGTAATATGAACCACTGAAGAATTCAATTAGTCAGTAACTTGCCTACAATTAGAAATTAGTTGGAAAAAAATAAATATTTTTACTTAGCTTTCTTTAGTGGTCGACGATACGAAAAACAATTTTTTCCTCTTCCAAAACCTGAAATTAACTTTAAAACTTTCGCCTCAAATTGTGAATAACTTAATTTTTTTTTGACATACGTCAAAAGGAAAGTCATATGCGATAGTCTACATGAATACATATAGTGAATGTTTTTTGAGAATTCAGTTAAGGTTCATATTTCAGTTTTCAACCTCTCTCCTTAGTAATGGCAACCAGGTACGATCAATTTCCACAAAGATATGTGAAATACACTTGTTACATGCTAAAAGAATGAGGATTCTTCAGGTTTACTAATTTTTTTCATGAGTTTTATTGGTGATAATTAGTGTTTCATTCCATTCTATAGCATGATCACCAGTTTGATTTTAGTATATGCTCCGCAGTGCCGTAGCTAGGTAACTTAGGGCCCTGGGGCAAAAAAAAGGGGCCACACTGCTATCAAAACTGGTAAGGTTTAATGAAGTAAAATCATGAAATATACAAATACTTTAAAAATGCTGAGCTAATTTATCATCAGCTCTTTTTCATGCATTGCAGGGCAGGTAATGAAAATATTAAACACTGACAACATAAATTACAATTATTTTAATAATTGTAGTAGGTATTGGGCAATAAAACGAAATAGAAAAGATTCAAGGGTTCATTATTATTATATAAAGATCGGACCTACCTACTGACTAAATAGCTATTATAATCACAATCTTTTCCTAGCTTTAGTTTTCGCAAAAGTATCAATACCTTTGGTTAAATCCAGACTAGATGCGGTTTTGTTCTCAATTGCTATTAGCGATAAATGTCGGAGTCGAGTTTGGNTTTGCTAGGAAAAGTATGATATCAAATAACCTCAAAGAACCGTTTTCCAAAAGGATGTTGTTTTGCGAATTTCATTTTCAAGTTCTTTGTCGATAGTATTAGTATCATTTTTTTCCAAAATTCATACACAGCACATATTTCCGTATGGCCACTCGAACAACTGTGTTGTTCAATTCTTTCTGATAAATGTTTCCAATCACGAATTCCCGTACACCAGACATTATTCCTCTGTGAAGAAAATAACCAGCAGCGTCTCACGATTAACTGGTCCATATTTTGAACTTGAAACGTAGTATGATTTTGAAAAACACATATTATTCTGGTTGATATCAATTGGAAAAGGTCCTGAAGGCTGTAAAAGTCCCATATCAAGAATTTGACGTCTTTCATCATCATATAGTATTTTATTCGTGAAGTTTCCCAAATCTTAAGATGATTTATCGTACACATTTTCGAAAAATTTAGAGGTCTGTGGTTCCACGGAATTTTGCGCTATACAATGAGTAGCCGAAATCTATAGATTCATTTGAGTGGTTCTAAAATCAAATAAAATCAAACCTTTGTTACCTACTCCTAATACAACATTAACTTTTTAACCATTCTCGAAAAAAAATCTCGACTTGAGTTGACAATCGCGAATCACAAAAACGCACATTGATAAATGATAAAACGCACATATTGATATCCGTCAAATTGATAACACTGTCAACCCTCAGAAATAATTTAGGGGAATTCCTTTTTTATAACTTTCGAATTTATCTGAAACTGAGTTGCCATGATTAAAGTCGTGTTGCCACCTGTTATATTCATTTTGAAAATGGGAGAAATTTTCAAAAGTTGAGTTCGATTGAGATTTTCTAGTAAGGTTGAGGGCCCCCTGAGCTTGAGGCCCTGGGGTACTGCCCCGTCTAGCCCCTTAGTAGCTATGCTATTGATGCTCTGTTATCCCCGATCCTGCCATCTGTTTTCTCCTGATATATTTACGATGTTAATTTTTCCTCATATCTAGGGGTCTTGAGGTTTCACCTATATAACTTTATTCACAGGAACAAGGTATATTGTGAATACAATCTTTCGTTTTTCTACTGAATTTTCAGGTTTGGTTTGTGTCAAAAGAGATCTCCATGTGTTGGTGGTTCTTGAAGTTGTCCTTACATCTCAATTTCTCAGATAAACCTCTTAACACTCGTATTAAGAGTATTTATCGATTTTATGATCACGACATCAAAAAAAGGAAGTTGATTATGAACTTTCCTTTCAAATGTGCATTTTATCGTCGGTAGGGTAGAATGGGGGAATGGCGGTCAGTGGGAAATGCCGGTCAGTTTAAGATATCCATCTTCCCGAAACATCTCATTAAAAATACCAGTGCTTCCATCTAGTATACCTGCAAGTAACCTTATATATATGGCGCAATCGTGCTGGCGCACCTATAGTGAGCGTGCCAGCCATTACTGTGTGTAGAGGTGTATTCTTGTTATAATTCGAAATTTTTAACCAAAGGTAAGTCATTTAATATATTATTCGAATAAAACAGCGTTAACCACCAACTATTGCATGCGTATTTATTAATACAATATCTCGGTTTTGATTTTGAAAGCGTATTTTATCATTTGTATTGTCAACTGAAACAAACTTTTGTAGTTTTGGGGTTATGCCAATCATTCGAAGCGGGTAATGGCGGTCAGTGACCGGTATTACCCTATACGAAAATATAGGACAAGTTTTTGACAAACTTTCATATATCTTTATCGCATATAATAATGTAAAAATAGTATCTCATAATTGCTTTTTGTGCGCAGATGCCCAGGAAGAGACCTAGAACAACAACAAAGGCGTCGTGGAGTAAAGCGATCTTAGAAAAAGCTATCGAAGCAGTAGGTGGTGGACTTTCTATTAGAAAAGCTTCCAAAACCTACAACATACCGTTCAGTACCTTGCAAGAACGGATCAAGAAGAATCTTCCTGCTACT